GTCATCGTCACCAAAGTAAAATTTATTGTTCGATGCGTTTACATTTGGTATCGTATGATAAGATTCAAAGGTGGTCAAGCCAAGTTCATAATCATTATCGCTCAAATCTATCAGGAAAGTAGCTCGCCGTAAGGGTGCTACTATTGCCCGTAAACGTCAGTAACATATTCGGGGAACTGTCAAACGAATACAGAGCTCTCGCAACGAAACATCAGGAATTTAAATAGGTTTGCCGTCGTCGACAGTTTGCAGAAAATGTAAACACAGTTGTCCGCAAGTACTTTCTTCGTAACGTTGATAGGGTGCGCGATTGTACTCAATTTTCACTACATCTCTTTCAAGATATCGAATCAATTCTTTGGGCGGTCAAAAATGACCAAAACTATCGAAATATATCGCGCGTTTTCCTCTCTTTGCGCACGCCACCCAGTGAGTACCAGATCCTTCAGCGTCGTCTAAATTTATGATACCGCTTTCGTTTATACGCGGTAACATCGGGAGTGCGTTACGCATAAACATACCTCGGAAAAATGGGATACGCAAGCGCTTCGCCAAATAGTCCAATTGAACGTTGGTAGTTGCACCGATAGACATTTTTATCGTTTCATCGATGTTTTTTTTTTTCTTCGAGACACCCTTTCCACGTTTGTATGGAGCAAGATAGACTCCTCGACCTTTCGTGACGTGATCTTCCATGGCACGATGATAACGTTTTAATTCTTCCAGTTGACGTTGAGCAGCCTTGTTATCATTCACAATCTTTGCAACTCCCGCTGCTTCTCCAACCAGCGAACCGACTACTCTCAATAACGATAAAACTGGCAAAACACCACCACGTTTCGCTACCGGAAGTATTCGTTTTTTATTCGTCTTCTTTCTCTTCGTTTTCAAACCCATGCCGAGTTTTGTCTTTGCTTTCATAGCCGCCCAGACGATGGCTATTTCTTTTATTATAAACAGTGAATTGTAACCGGATAAATTATGAAATATTTAATCTTATTGCATTAACAATAAACATTTTTATAATTCAAGTTACAAGTTGAGTGCGTGGAACCTCTGTACCGTCCAGTGAAATGGCAATGATTGCGTACGCGCGTATCCTCCACCGCGAATGGTTTCTCCCACATGTGACAGTGCGTCGCGTTACGAAATGCCGCCTACTGTGTTTTCGACAAGTTTCCATGGGGACGTTGGTGGATAAAATTACTTTTACGCGTGCGCTAACTTTTCGAGTTGTTTGACCCATGAAATGCAATCAGTATCGCGACGGATTCGAAAATATGACAACGAATCGTCATACGAGCAACGCAAGTAATACGCTATGCTAAATACCTTGTGATGCTGATTCGTGTGCGATTTGTGATCTTCCCCGTTCTTTGCGGTCTTCTCTAGTGTACACTTCAGATCAGAGTACACTATAAATGGGATTCGCTCCTTCCTGCTGTAATTGCGGAAGCTTAGCCACTTGTTGTCCTCAGTCGGCAGAATGATGGCGCAGTCGTTCAATTTTTGGCAGTCTGTGATGTGACTCTCCAGCTTCTCGTTGGAATGGAAATAGTGCCGACACCTACAAACATTACAATTTTCACTTACTATCAT